AGAGCTTTAGTAAATACAAATCAGTTTATCTACAGGTGAATACTTTAAAAGCAGTGAAAGGATCAAAATATGGAGAAACTTCCCTAAAGATTTCCATCAAAATTATCTTACAAAACAAAAATTGTATGTGTGTTGCTGTAACTTTTGGTAGAGCAGGTTTCTGCAACCTTTACCATCCAAGGAGATTTTTTTTTTTACTTCAGTCCAGCTAATAAAACTTGTTCTGAGATTCAAACATTACATTACTTTTTGTTTTTTTAAAGGACAAAATTGGAGATTTGTATTTTTTTTTTAAATAACCACCACGCCATTTCAAATTTAAGATTTTAGAATAATGGGGGGAAAAAACAGCAGAAAAGAGAATAAATACATTTTAAATGCGTTGCTCAAATTTGTGAAGAATTACAAGAAATAGAAAAGATTCTCTTTTAGCTCCAGAGCCCCTGAAGTAGAGCAATAAAGTACTTGAGCTCTCAGAGGTTTTTGTTTATCTTTGGTCTAACTTGCCTTCAGCCTAAGACAAAACCAAAGACAATGTTTTCTCGTTTGGCTAAAATACTTATGCATGACTCAATTTTGTTTTTGCAGGGGTTAAACTGAGCAGCCTGCTGGGCAAAAAGGGCAGCCTGGACAAGCTGCAGAGCTACTGGGATGTGGGCTTCTTCTTGGGCGCCAGCATACTGGCCTGTGACAACACCAGGGTCATCCAGGCCTCTGAGAAACTCTTCAAGCTCAAGGCTCCCATCTGGTGAGAATATGGACAAGCCTTTTCAGATCAAAATACTAAAAAACACATTTTAGAAAAATGTCTTCACCAACTGCTCCCGGGGTCGTTTGATCTGGAGTGCGCTCGACTTTCCCTTCAAAGTGCTGCAGCCATCTGTGGCTATTGTGAAAACATTTGGCGGATTTTGTATTAAGAGGAAAAAAAAGATGAGAGGAGAATGTTTGCTCTTTTAGGCTGCACTGGCTTTCAAAGAGATATGAAAGAAACGCATCTGAAAATAGAAAAACGAACAAATTGCTCACATTTACATATCTGTGTCATTCAGACATTTCTTTGTATTAATTTGAAAACTTTTAAGATTTTGTTCATGTTCAAGCTGCTTTTTTGACCTCAAAATTAGAAAATAAAATAGAGAAGAACTGGAAATGTCCTCATGACATTTATTACGTGTTAAAATAAAAACGATTCCAGAATCTGTGAGGTAGGATTTTCATTTCTATCTTTATTTAGTCAAGTATTGCAACAAGCACTGCAATTACTTCAGCAATAATGTTTAAAATAAACCCACATCCTCTTTTCTTTAAACTCTCACCATTTCCCCACCAATCTCTGTGAGCTTACACTCTTGGCCACTAAAAATCTCTAGCCAGACATATCCTGCAGGGCAATAAGCGCCTCAGACGGCAGCCAGGTTCCATTTTATAGTTCAAGCTTCTGAAGTAGTATTCCCTCTCCTCTCCTCCTCACACCATGAACCAAATATTAAACAAAAAGGAATGATTATCACCTTTTCATGATTTATCACCTAGTACAATCTAGTATTTTGACATTTCTCTTTTGGTTTTTTTAGGCCACATAACCTGAAAGATCATTTATTTTGTTACTGGAAAGCGTTTGCTTTGAAAAGTTGTAGGAAAATATAGCAGGCAACTATCATGTCCAGGAAATAACACAACTGGACAAAATAAAAAAAATAGCAGGTCTATATACAAGGTGTAGCCAAAATAGTGTTTGGAAGTTGTTTCTTTCAGGAGGGGGTGGCAGGGAAATGGTGGGAAGAAGTTTGTCCCTGGCGGCATAGATATAACAGAACATGAGAGATTCATTAATCACAAAGATGCATTTAGCTCAGCTAACATCTCTTTGGGAATAACCTTTTTGGAGCTGTCTAACTTCTGGTGTTTTTCCTGTAATCCATTTAGTTCACAAATTATGCTTTTAAAGTCAACAAAGATCCAAATTAGAATTGGATTTCTGTAGTTATTGCAGCTTTATTCAGATCTTTGTTTTTTCAATTTAAAAGCCTTTTAGCTCTTTGGTATGGACACATTCAACCATTTGTCTTAAATTATTATAATCACTGTGAAATTACGTAATGTTTCAAAGGTTTCAGTTGCATATTGTTCTAGATCATTTATACTTTACCTTGCTTGCATTGTGGTTTTGATTCCTGTTTGAATTAGTTTATTCTTAGTAGAAAGAAATTGATGAAACCAAGAAGAGCTGATGGATTTTTGTTGACTGATATGTTTTTTAGAAGTTCATACAGTTAATACAGTAGATTGCAGATCATGGAAAATTACTGTAAACCATCAGCTAATGGCAGACAGACAGCAGAGGTTCATCCTTTCACTTCCAGAGCTTGTTCTTGCATTATTATGCATTTTTGGACAGAATGTCAGAACAAAGACATGCTTCAAAAGTCTGACTTTAAAAAAATACAAACTTGTTAATTTTGTTACAGTCTTTTTCTCAAATGTTCTGTAAAGTATGACAGAAAGAAACCAAATCCTATTTTCATATTTATCTTTTTGCTGGTTTTGTATGTTTGCGTTTAGGTATCTGCGCTCTCTTGTAGAGACCATCTTAATCTATCAGCACTTTAAGAAGCCTGGCAGCGAGCCGCCGGCACCTAAGCAGGAGCTGGTAGACTTTTGGATGGACTTCTTAGTGGAGTCGACCAAAAAAGATGTCTCCTCTGTTCGATTTCCGGTAAGTTACAAGATAAAAGAAAAAAAGTTAAACAACTGGTGGGATTCATAAAAAAACTAAAGAATTATTTTCTTCTCATCAAGGTGTTGATATTAGAGCCTACAAAAGTATACCAGCCTTCATATTTGTCCATAAACAAAGACGTGGAAGACAACACTGTGTCCATCTGGCACGTTGCTCCCGATGACAAGGTGAGTATCCAACTAGGCTATTATGTACAAAAATGGCATTTTCTATTCATTTTTTTCTAATTTTCTAAAGAGAGAGAGTTTTATATAAATATATATAATAATATCCAGAGGTGTCAAGTAACAAAGTACAAAAACTTTGTTACTGTACTTAAGTACACTTTTTAGGTATCTATACTTTACTCCATTCCTTATTTTTCCTCCTACTTCTGACTTGTACTTATTACATTTTCACAAAAGTATCTATTCCTTACATTTTTATAACAAACATTACTTGTTACCCTTAGCTTCAGTTTAATGTTTATATATATCTATTTCACGTCATGTGCGCCATCTAATGCAGATCATTGGTGCCATCCACATCTAGTGAAAACTAGTGTAATTAGATGAGTAATAAAACGCAAACACTCATTGGTTATCTAAAGGAAATCATCAGAAGCAAGTAGGTGTTCTTCAAACTGTAAACGTGAATTGTCTATGCCATGCTACAGTATCGTATTTAGAAAAAGATGTCGAAATGTCTGAAAGGTCGGACACAGGCGAGAGCGTATCCGGAGACGGAGACCAACAAGACCTCCCTCATCCATGGCCCTATCTCAAAGAATTTTTCGAAATAGCATCTCGCTGTTTTTTTAAAAGGTTACTTTATACTTTTATAGGTTTTGGAGCACATACTTTTTCACTTTTACTTGAGTAAATAGGTCAAGTTGATATTCAACTTTTACCAGAGTGTTTTTAAACTGCAGTATCTATACTTCTACTTAAGTAACAAATGTTTGTACTTTTGACACCAATGATAATATCATAACCTTAGTAGGCATGTTTGGCCATTAAAGTAAATTATGCCGAAAAACTGCTGCATTGCTCCACTTTGGCCTCAAATTAGCTGATGCTAATGGAAAAAATCAGGACTAATGTTATATTTTAAAGGGTGTTTAATTATAAGTCACATTGTCCAGTTTCCTGTTTCGATCTAGTCCAAAAAATTTATTTAATTACTGTTTTACCATAATTATTCATTCATATAAACATTTAAAAACAACAAATATTTAACCAATGTTTTCCATAACTGGTGAAAAACATGGCAGTGATAATAACAATTAAAAGCCTAAAACCAAACAATCTCACGCTAGGTTTATTTCCTCTGTGAAGAAATGGATAGACATGGATTACTTATTTCAAGCTATGCCTAGAAGGAAAAGGTTTAAGTCTTATACAGACATCTGAGATGCAAGAAGGATGAGTTTCCTGCTTCATGAAGGTGGATGTAATGTCTAAGGCCAGTTTATGTTTTAGCATTTTATTTTATAGCCTCCATGGAGAATGTGTTGGGGATGAGGCTTCTCATTTGAAATTTTTCCCAGAAAGACAAACTTTTCGTGCCAACATGGCCTCACCTATTTAAATTAAACTTTTTTTTTTTTTTTTTTTTTGGGGGGCCTTTAAGGACTGACATTTCCTCTTAGATCAATCCAGATTGTTTCACATTCTAATTAACTTCAGCTTTAAGGCTAAATAAGTTTACAAAATGTGTTTGCAAGAACTTTGCTAAGAGCCTAAAGAACAGGAAATATGTTGACATAAGAATGTCATTAACATACCCAAAAATGGGTACAGTTTTAACTTCAGTAAATAAAAATTATGATTAATAAAATGCAAATAATTCAGAAAAAAATAACACTGGATACCAATAAAGCAAGTGTAATAAATATATTTTTTAAACTTGCTGTATTCTATAGCTTTCCATAGCAAGACATGTTTGCTCGTATCTCTGAAGCTCAAGCAATTTCAATTTTTTTTTCTATTAAGTTTGAATTATGCCCCCAGACCAATTATATTAAAAGGTTCAGTCTGCAACAATAGAATAAAAATCATCTATTTCCCATGGGTGTAAAACAGTAATTATGTTTTCTGTTTTGGTTTTTGTTTCACAGAACAAGGGGATACATGAGTGGAACTTTGTTGCCACATCTGTTCGAGGTGTCAGGTACGTGTTTGCTGCTTAGTTTCAAGTTTCTCTTTTAGTCTCAGCTATGTCAGACCAAGGCCGTGTCATTGATCATGTTTTTTTTTTTTTTTATTTCTTCTGCTCTGGAGTGTTTTAAAATGGTTCAAAGTCTCCCTAATAGTTTTCAAGCAGAAACTGTTTTAGGCCATAGAAATAGATGGAAATGAAAGGAACTCAATGTAAAGTCGCCTTAAAGAAAAGCAAGACATGACTGTTTTGTCTGAGCCTTAGTTTTGGGCTCACAGAGCAAAATTAGCAGCTTTTCTCTGTATATTATAATATAAATTAAATGTTTAAGTTCTGAGGTTAGAATGGGCTCATCACAGGATACCAGTAGTGCTAAATCTGCTTAGCTACTTTCCGTTTCCTAAAAGTAGATTTTCCTGAATTGTGCTAAATATTAAGTATAGAAATTTGTTTCTAGATTCTTTTCCATTGATTTTCATGTATTATGAAGCCAGTATGATTTTAGCATAATTTGCACACAAAGGGCAATGGGCCCTGCGATGAACTGGCGACCTGTCCAGGGTGTACCCCGCTTCTCGTAGACAGCAGAAGATAGGCATCAGTACCCCTCACGACAGAAGCGTGACAGAAGATGGATGGATGGATGGATGGATGGATGGATGGATGGATGGATGGATGGATGGATGGATGGATGGATGGATGGATGGATGGA